GACCCCCGTGGCAGCAGCGGGGACCAACAAGCGGGAGCCGAGTGCCAAGGGCCCAGAGGAGAAGGTGGCCGGCAAGCGGGAAGGCCTAGGTGGCCTGACCCTGCGCGAGAAGACCTGGAGAGGGGGCTCCCCGGAGATGTGAGCAGGGGCAGGATTTGGGGTTTGGGTCCTTTTGGGTCCTTTTGGACCCGAAGGGGAGTAACTCCTCTGACCACGCCCCCTTTGCGCAGCAAGCGCTTCTCGGCGTCCGAGGCCAGCTTCCTGGAGGGGGAGGCCAGTCCCCCGTTGGGCGCGCGCCGCCGTTTCTCGGCGCTGCTGGAGCCCAGCCGCTTCAGCGCCCCCCAAGAGGACGAGGATGAGGCCCGGCTGCGCAGGTCTGCTCGGCCCAGCTCCGACCCCCCAGGCTCGCTGGATGCGCGGGCCCCCAAGGAGGCAGCTCAAGGGGATGGCACCCCCAGCGCCGGGGACCCGGAGGCCAGTGAGTGCCCCCTCCTGCCGCCTTCCCCAATTCCCCAGGGGTCATATATGAGCGTTCAGTGAGCCTGCACTGTTTATGCAAGTTCTCGTGTACTCTTCACACTCCAGTCTGGGATTCTCATCAGTATGAGGAAGACCCGTATTCCATGGTCAGTCAACAGAAGTATTTGAGCACTCCTCTGAGTCAGGAGCTGTTCCTGAGGCACGTTCCCTGCTCCCATGAAATTCACAATCCAGCAAGGGAGAGAAGTGGGAAGAGCATTCCAGGCACAGCGAACAGCGTGCAAGAAGTTTATAACCTTGGAGTGACCCCTAAACCACCTGCTCTGTTGCAGCCGACCGCCCACGCCCAGGCGACCTCTGCCCATCCTCGAAGGATGGGGACCCATCAGGCCTGAGAGCCACCAATGACCTGGTTCTGCGCCGGGCGCGGCACCAGCAGCTGTCAGGAGACCCGGCGGTAGAGAAGCGGCCTTCTCGAACCGGGGGCAAAGTCATCAAGTCAGCCTCGGCCACTGCCTTGTCTGTCATGATCCCCGCAGGTGACACTGGGCCCCGCCTGGCAGGGGAGGGGCTGCCCCCATTGGTGCCAGGTGCATTTTCCTTGTCCACAGTGACTGGCTCTGGGATGGGCCAGTGAGAGCTCTGGGACTTTGACTTGGGAGGAGGGAGGAGCGGACACAGGGAGAGCTGTGTCTGTTGGCTTTGACCTCTGACCATGGGTCTGTGTCTGCAGTGGACCCCCATGGAAGCTCACCCTTGGCCAGCCCCATGTCCCCACGATCTCTCTCCTCCAACCCGTCCTCACGGGACTCCTCCCCGAGTCGGGACTACTCGCCAGCTGTCAGTGGGCTTCGCTCCCCCATCACCATCCAACGCTCGGGCAAGAAGTATGGCTTCACACTGCGTGCCATCCGCGTCTACATGGGTGACTCAGATGTCTACAGTGTACACCACATTGTCTGGGTGAGCACTAATGGGTGGAGCCTGTGTTCTATGGTGGGGGTGGGGAGAGAGACACACACACCCCTCCCCCCAGGGGTGAGGGACAGCTCAAACTCTGGAACCAGGCAACCTGGATGAGACTCCTCTGTGACCCTCCTCTGTAACTTTTCCTTTCTGACTCTCAGTTTCTCCATTTGTAAACTGGGGAGAATAACTGTTATTTCATAAACTGTTATGAAGATTAGCGTGCCTGCAGAGCTAGGTGTCTGGCACATAAGCTTAGGGAGCTTTCCTTGTTACCAAGCCTGTTAATTCTGCTCCTGTGGGGTTCCCTATCCCCAGCACGTGGAGGAGGGGGGCCCAGCCCAGGAGGCAGGGCTCTGTGCCGGGGACCTCATCACCCACGTGAATGGGGAGCCTGTGCATGGCATGGTGCATCCTGAGGTCGTCGAGCTGATCCTTAAGGTGAGTCCATGGGAGAGAGCCAACTGTCTTGGGGTGGGGGTGGGGCGAAGGGTGGGGGAGATCCCAGGGAGTTGGAGTTGCCAGAGCAGTTTCCAGCAGAGAACTTTCCCCCTTTCTTCCCCCAGAGTGGCAACAAAGTAGCCGTGACCACCACGCCCTTCGAAAATACCTCCATCCGCATCGGCCCTGCGCGGCGCAGCAGCTACAAGGCCAAAATGGCTCGGAGGAACAAGCGGCCCTCTGCCAAGGAGGGCCAGGAGAGGTGGGTGGGGCCAAGTGCAGTGGGCGGGGCTATAAACAGCAGGCCCCTCGAACACTCCAGTTTATGAGCGATGGCCAGGGCTTACGTGGGAGAGGCATAGGTGAGGACAGAAGGGACGTTCACAGGAAAGGTGGCCGGGGCCACCAAGTGAAGAGCAAAACCAAGACAACAGAGAAGGAGGGGCTGGGAAAGCGGGAGGAGTCAGGAAAGGAGGATGTACCAAGCTCCTAGGCTGAAGGAAAGGCACTGTGGGAGCAGAGCTGAGCCAGCAGATGTGGACTAAGAGGGTGCCGTCCAGGAGATGATTCTGCCTTGCCGGATGTATTACATTTAGGCCACTGAGAGGGGCCGGGAGAAGAGATTTCTATCTGGGATGAATATGCCAGGCCAGTAGAAATAATTTCTTCCCTTATATGTAGGAGGAACTAGGAGAGGTGGGTGGAGCCAGGAGAGTTTTCTGTTTTGATCAGTGGGTTTGACCTGGACAAGGAGTGAGTGGGGATTTGAGATAAGCCTGGCTGGGTCCAGTGAATTTTTTCCCACTCTGACAGGTGGGTTTAGTTGGAGAGGGAGGGGCTAGACAGGTGGGCAGGGCCAGAAAAGGTTGGTTCTGTTTTGATGGGTGTTTCCAGCTTGGACTGTGAGTGGTCAGAAAGGAATGGGTAGACCTGAGGTGGGAGGAGCCAAGTGGGACGGAGCTAAAGGAAGTTCTTTGGTCTGGAACTGTGTGGTAGCTGAAGAGGGAGGGGTCAGAAAGGGTGGGTGGTTCCAGGAGGTACCTTGAAGTCCTGAAGTGGGAGGAGCCGGGAGCTCTGGAGTCTGGTCTAGGGAAGGTGGTCCCCTCCTTGTCCTCCAGCAAGAAGCGTAGCTCCCTCTTCCGCAAGATAACGAAGCAGTCGAACCTGCTGCACACTAGCCGCTCTCTGTCGTCGTTGAACCGTTCGCTGTCGTCCAGTGACAGCCTCCCGGGCTCGCCCACGCACGGACTGCCGGCGCGCTCGCCCACCCACAGCTACCGCTCCACGCCTGACTCCGCCTACCTAGGTAGGCCCTGAGCCTGCGCGGGGGCCGAGCTGCACGTGGTGGCGGGTCGGTGCCCTGGCGGTGCCCGCGGCTCTCATCGTCCTCTCTCGCCCGCCCACAGGCGCCTCGTCCCAGAGCAGCTCGCCGGCCTCGAGCACGCCCAACTCGCCAGCGTCGTCGGCCTCGCACCACATCCGGCCCAGCACGCTGCACGGCCTGTCGCCGAAGCTGCACCGCCAGTACCGCTCTGCACGCTGCAAGTCGGCCGGCAACATCCCGCTGTCGCCGCTAGCGCACACGCCGTCCCCGACACAGGCGTCGCCGCCGCCGCTGCCGGGCCACACGGTGGGCAGCTCTCACACGACGCAGAGCTTTCCGGCCAAGTTGCACTCGTCACCGCCAGTGGTGCGCCCGCGCCCTAAGAGTGCCGAGCCCCCGCGCTCGCCACTCCTCAAACGCGTGCAGTCGGCGGAGAAGCTGGGAGCCTCGCTGGGCGCCGACAAGAAGGGCGCGCTGCGCAAACACAGCCTCGAGGTGGGCCACCCGGATTTCCGCAAGGACTTCCACGGCGAGCTAGCGCTGCATAGCCTCGCCGAGTCGGACGGCGAGACGCCCCCTGTCGAGGGTCCCGGCGCCACCCGGCAGGTCGCCGTCCGCCGCCTGGGCCGCCAGGAGTCGCCCCTGAGCTTGGGCGCGGACCCGCTGCTGCCGGCTTCCAGTAAGGAGAGAGAGTCCCCGGGTGGCGCCGAGGCCTGCACTCCGCCCCGCGCGACGACCCCCGGGGGCCGGACCCTGGAGCGGGACGCCAGCGGCACGCGACACCAGAGCGTGCAGACAGAGGACGGCGCGGGCGGGGCGGCCAGGGCCGTGGCCAAGGCGGCGCTGAGCCCGGTGCAGGAACACGAGACGGGCCGGCGCAGCAGCTCCGGCGAAGCAGGCACGCCCCCGGTGCCCATTGTCGTAGAGCCTGTGCGGTCTGGGGCCAAGGCTGAGGTGCCACAACTCCCAAGTGTGGACTCCAAGGGGTTGCAGGAATCTGCACCCCTGGCACCTCCCGCATCTGAGGCCCCGCGGGGCCGGGAGCGCTGGGTACTGGAGGTGGTGGAGGAGCGGACCACGCTGAGCGGGCCTCGTTCCAAACCTGCCTCTCCCAAGCTCTCCCCAGAGCCCCAGACCCCCTCCCAAGCCCTAACAAAGAATGTACCCAGCAGTGCAGGGCCCCCAGCCCCACCTGCTTCCCTCCTGGCCCCTACCACCAAGCCTGAGGTGGCGCTGACTTCCCGGTGCCCTGCTGAAGCTGTGCCCCCAGCAGCCCCGACCAAAAAAGGGGCGCCCTGCCCGATGCCCCCGGGCCCATAGCAAAGGGAGCCACTGGCCCTGCGCTGTACAGCCGCCTGTATACATATGTACACATATAAATAAAGTGCGTCCGTGCTGCGTGAGCTTTCTAGAGCTCGCCCCTCCTCCCCTAGCAAGGCAGGACATCATGTTTCCTCCCCCTTGCCTGTGTGCTTGTTGAGGGGTGGAACTCAAGTCCTGGTTACCATAAAGACGGGAGGTGAGTCTTGGTTGGTCCTTCCTTGTGGTCCCACTTTGTGTCTCACCTATGTGCCAGCTGCCCCCAGACCCTCAGCAAACTGCTGTGCTGTTCTGAGTCCCAGTGTCCACCTGAAGAAAAGACTAACAGCCTCATTTACCAATTTCTTTTTATTCCTCAACAATCCTGAGTAAGGTGTTATGATTCCCATTTTGCAGATGAGTAGATTGAGTCACAGAGAGGTTAAGGCACATGATTAAGGCCAAACAAATAGGAAGAGACTAAATAGATTCAAACTGAAGTCCAAACTGGCCCCTGAGCCTTAGCTCTTATATGCTCTGCTGGGCTTCCTAGAGAGAAGGCCCTGCTCTACTATCCACAGGGCTCCCAAGCCTTCACCAGAGGCTGGAAGGCCTTCCAGAGGGCGGGCAGCTGGGTACACAGTGTGCCCCCACCCCGGTGCTCCTCTCTTTTGTTCCGATTCATGTCACCCACACAGGCCCAGGGCCTTTCTGGGGCTACACACCACTTGGAATGGTCTTCTGTGGCATTGAAGGTTGGCCCAGCTAGCCCAGGGAAGGCTGTCTGGGTCACATCCAGTACGTGCTGGACCCCAGAGCAGTTGGAGGGCAGGATGCCGGAAGATCTTTGCCAGAACTGGACCTGTAGGTCACTGCCAAGGGCTTCCACCAACCAGCCAGAGTACAGGTCTGCAGAAGATGGAAAGAGGACATGGACAGGGTCAGGATCACTGCTAGGGATTTCCTAGGCCACTTCCCATCTCTGAGCTGTTTCCTCAGTTATCAATTCCTGGCAATCTGGGGAATTATAGCATTAAGACTAATAGCCCTTACTAAATGCTTTATATGCATCATGCCACTCAACAGCCCTTTAAAGTTGATACCATTATTCCCATTTTTCAAAAAGGTAAGTTGAGGCCCTGGTTAAATCATGTATCACACAGCCAGAAACCAATATTTGAACACAGGTATATTGGTTGTTTACCTCTCATGTGATTATGACTCCAAGGTGTTCTAGTCCCTAACCATGACCTGCCCTCAGCCATGGACACACCAGACACCCCCTCTGCAGAAAAAGTTCTCCAACTGTCAACCTCAAGGCTCACCATCTCCAAAGTTTCCAAATTTGGCAAAGCTCTGGAACATGTGTCCTTTGTTTGATGTGAGTGTTACACTGCTGTTCCATGGTCCCTGGCGAACATGATGGCCCTTGACTACCTCCTCCAGGTGGGGGAGTTTCTGGGCGAAGTCCCCTTCCAGCCTATGGTCATACACGAGGGGATAGGTGTAGGTCAGCTGTCTGCCTGGAGGGCAAGGGGAGAAGAAAACGAGGGACTGTTCCAAGATTCTAGCCTGGGAATCAGGGACTCACCCTGTCTCCCCGTCCCCACTCACTGATATCCAGAAACTGGGTGAGAGGAAAAGATACACAGATCAGGGTCTGCCCATAGTTCCGGGCACTAGGAGGCCAGCTGTACGCAGCAGAGGAGGCAGGTGGAGGGAAGTTCGGAACGCTGTGGATCAACCAGAAGCCCCCTTCTTGGTCCAGGAGCAGCACACCTGAACCAGAAACTGGAGATCAGGGGGAGTGCTTGAGGCATCCCAGCAAGCACATGAGCAACCCAGGAACACTCAGTCTGTAGGGGGCCTGGACCACAGGACCAGTGGGCAGTGTCAGAACCACCGCTGAGCTCAGTTTCCACAGCCATCGATTCTCATAGTCCAGAGGAAGGACAATGTTGATTTAAAATAAGGAAACAGATGGCTAGGGCCTGACAGAGCAGCCCACCCTCACCCCCCTGGCAACTCATGGGTTAGCTGGGGGAAATGCACAGGGAAACCAGAACTCTTCCGCAGTCCCCAGTCTGGCCTCACCCTTCGTGTGCCCACGGCTGGAAGAGTCCTGAGACCCGCTGGATTGAGGCGGTTGGTCATTGTAGAGTAGAAAGGCGAGCTGGGGATGATGGACAGGGGCAACTTGAAGGTTCCCCCAAGTCGGGTCCACCCTAGAGTCCCACCCCTGGTTCCGCCGGAGGCGTCTTCACCTGGCTGGTGGTGTTTCGGTACAGCGGCAGCAGGCTGCGGCCCACGGCCCCCGTGGAGCTGCTGATGAACCCCGCACCGTCGCGCCAGCCCCCTGAGTCTTCGTCTAAGTACTTGTACCGCAGCCCCCTCTGCGCCGCATCTCCGGGCCCGCTGTGGGCCGGCAGCTTGTAGACGACGAACCTGGAGGTTAGGAAATGGACAGAATAGAGGGAGAAGAGAAGGAACCCTAGTCTTCACCTAGGAACGCAGCAATCCCCAGTGCGGCCCTGGAGGGATAGTCGGCTCCCGCGCACTCACCAGTCCACAGGCTGCCCCGAGTCCCCGTAGCAGGTCAGGGTCCCTACAGGGACCCAGAGCAGCGCGGCCAATAGCAGCAAGCTCAGCGCGGCCATGAGCTCAGAGCTCTAGCTGGGGTCTAGAAATCTGTGTCGGGACCGCAAGGCGCGGGGTCACGAGCCGGGCCAGACCCGGCCTCTGGTGACTTTCACTTCCCCAAACCCGCCTGGGAACCCAGGCCCAGGCATCACGAGGATGGAGACTCCGCCCGCGAGGTGAGAAGCAGAGGTTTGAATATGTAGTCAAGGATCCTCCAGAGGGCTCGGCCTTCTTCCGGGCAGCCACTCCCTGCAGGCCCCGCCCCCGACCCGGCCAGCCTGGGGCCTCCTCCTGCTTCCGGCAGACTAGTCCCTGATAGGCTCCACCCTCTGGCTCGGCCCAGACACGGCCTCTCATGGCCAGGTGGTTTCCAGAGTCCGGCCTCCGGCTCTACTCCTGGCCAATCACAGCCCACGCCCCTCCAGCAGGCCCCGCCTCCGTCTCTTTCAATTCTGGCTAATCCCAATCAACACTCTTCCGCTGAACCTCGCTCCTCCCCGGGCTTCTCCGTCAGAGGCAAATTTGGATTTTTTTTTTCCTTTCCTGCCTTACAGCCTGAGGTCCAACTCTTGTGATTTTTGCTCCCTTAAAGGGCGCTTGCCCTCCTGGTCCTCCCCCTTTTCATTCTGCATGTTCCCCCCACCCCCGCCCCCGCCGCGGAGCTAGTCAAGGGGTCACTTTGGATGATGACAGGGTCAAGTGTGACGGGGCTCTGGGACCCGGGTGAGGATTTTCTTTTTTTTTTCTTTTTTTTTTTTTTTGCTACGCGGGCCTCTCACTGCTGTGGCCTGTCCCGTTGAGGAGCACAGGCTCCGGACACACAGGCTCAGCGGCCATGGCTCTCTTTTTTTTTTTTTTGGCTGCGTTGGGTTTTCGTTGCTGCGCGTGGGCTTTACTCTAGTTGAGGTGAGCGGGGGCTACTCTTCGTTGCCGAGCGCGGGCTTCTCATTGCGATGGCTTTTCGTTGCGGGGCACCTGCTCTAGGCGTGCGGGCTTCAATAGTTGCAGCACGCAGGCTCGGTAGTTGTGGCTCGCGGGCTCTAGAGCGCAGGCTCAGTAGTTGTGACCCTTGGGCTTAGTTGCTCCGCGGCATGTAGGATCTTCCCCCACCAGGGCTCGAACCCGTGTCCCCTGCATTGGCAGGTGGATTCTTAATCACTGTGCCACTAGGGAAGCCCCCGGGCTGAGGATTGTTAAGTGGAGGAAGATGGTCTCTGTGAATGTCCCTGGGTTTCGAGGCAGGAGGCAGGGACATGTAGCCTGACCTTGGGGTGGGGGAAGGACCGGCTGCAAGTGCCTGAGGAGGGTTGCCCAGTTTTAGGAGAGGAGGGTGTGAGTTTGTGTATGGCTCCCCAATATCACCTCTGGGGTTAAGCTTCTTCCCAACTTCCACACCCCAAACCCACAAGTTCAGACCAACACTGAAGCTTTATCTGGGAGGAGCATTTTTACGAGACCCGTAACCATTCACAGCAATGCCAGCCACTATGTGGAGCTTCAGGAGTCACAGTGTGAAGCCTTCTAGAACCAGGGTCTCTGGGAAGCCTCACCGCACAACGCCTCCGTTGTCTAGGGCCACCTGTGAGCTGGTCTGATGGTCCAGCTCTCTGAGGGTCTGTCTCTTTGTCAGAAGTATCTAAGTGTCCACCTGAGTCCGTCTATTTGGAGGTCTATCTTGCTTGGTCTACATGACCGTGTGTGACTGTGGCTCCCTTTGGCCAAGGACACGTGGGGACTTCTGCTGGAGGCTCCCCCAGGTCTGTCTATGGGCCAGTCCTTGGTGGATCTGTGGGCCCAAGAGTCCAGACGAGGGTTCATCCGAGGGAAAACCACCATGCATGGATCCGTTCTTGTTCTAACCCCAGTCCCCAGAAAAGGTCCAAGTGCCGGGGCGGGGCTCAAAGATGACGCTTCATGTGCAAGGCCAGATGATCCGAGCGCGAAAAAGCACGCGAACAGAGCTGGCAGCGGAAGGGACGCTGACCGGTGTGCTTTCGGTAGTGACGGGTCAGCTCGTCGGAGCGCGCGAACCTCCAGCCACAGCCATCCCACGTGCAGGCGTATGGCTTCTCCCCTGGGGGGATGAGGAAGCCTTGAGAGCCACTGTCCCCCACACCTGGTCCCAGAGATCTCCTTCCTAGCCTTGGCCGGGACTAGGGTGAGGCAAGTGAGGCGCCTAGGTCGTAAAATTTAAGGAGGCACTCACTCTCGGGGGAGGGTCTGAATCTGTACCCAGGACCGGCCTCTGCTACCCTGACCCTTCTTCTGTGCCTGCTGGCGCCAGGCCCCTTTTCACTTCCTGGTCACAAGTCGCGCCCTCTACACTACTAGCCCCACTTCCTGTGCCCGGTAGCCTGCCCCTGCGTCCTAATGCCGCCACAATCTTCGTCCTTTGGCACTGCCCCTATGTCCCAGCCCCTCCTTTGCACCAGGGGACCCTCAAGCTGCTGCCCAATCCTGTCCCTGGCCTTGGCCCTTGAGCCCCGAAATCCACCTGGTGTTCCAGGCCCTGTCCCCAGTGATCATGCTCTCCCCCTGCTAGACGTGGCCCCTCCTCCCTGCGTTCCTGGACGGGTCTGTACACGTGGCCCCATCCTCTGAGCGGACCCCTGTGCATAGGCCTCATTCCTCCTCCTCCCCGCCTCTGTTCCACGTCCCCTCCCCTGTCTCTGTCTCCTTGGGACCCGGCCTCTCCTCCTATGCCTACCTTCCTGTATTTCCCGGCCATTTCCCTTTGCTCTCCAGGGTCGGCAGCCTCTGCGTCCGGGCCCCTGAAACTAACTCTCCTGAGCTCCAGCACGCCCCCTACAGTCTAACCAAGCAACCCACTCTGTCTACTCCTGGCTACCACCCCAGAACACCTAACTCCGCTCCCGCTTGCCCCAAAACTGAACCCTGGGTCTTTGGCCCCGCCCCTGGTATTTCGAGCTGTCCTCTCCCCGCAGTCCCTCCTCTAGCCCCGGCCCGTACACAGCTTGCCTGGCTTTCTGCTCTTCGGCCCAGGTCTTAGCCCTCGGTTCCTTGAAATGCTTCCCAGGTTCTCCATGTCCTCTCTCCGTCCCCACATGCCTTCCGCACCACTTCCCATCCGGCTCCTGATGTTCCAGACTCGTCCCCAGCTCCTTCGGCCCAGCCTTTTGCTCCGAGACTTTGCTTTAGCCCCGCCCCTTGCTCCTGGTTTCCAGCTCCTCCGCGGCTCTTGGCTCCCAAGGTCCCACCCAGCCCCGCCCCTGCACCGGGCCCTGCCCCCTCACCTGTGTGCGTGCGTAGATGCGCCTTCAGGTGAGAGCTCTTGGTGTAGCTCTTGCCGCAGCCCGGGTGCGTGCACGTGTGCGCAGCCTGCCTCTTGCGCGCCCACGATCTCCTGCTGCGCTTGGATGGCGCGGCCTCCGCGGTCCCTCCTGGGTCTCCTGTGGTCCCCCCGAGTCCTGCACCCGTCGTCCCGGGCCCTAGACAACTCAGGAAGGAGTGGGGCGTGGCGGGACCGGGCGCCGGAGCCTGGAGCCCGCGGAAGAGCTGGAAGTGCCCTTGGTACTGCGGCATCGGGTACAGCGCAGGGTATCCGGACAGCAGCCCGTAGGGGGCTCCCGGCGCTGCAGGCACTGAAAGCCCCGTCCGGGGGAAATAGCTGCCGGAGGAGCCCGCACCCGGTCCCGGGTACATCGGCTGCAGCGGCAGCGCCTTGGGTTCGGGGGCTGGAATCAGGGCTGGGCCCACGAAGGCATCGGGAGCCGGGGTTCGTGGGGTCGGGCGCGCCCAGCCCGGGTGTTCCTCGGGACCCAAGAGCCCAGCCACCAGCCCCGGGCCGCCCGCGTACGCGCCCAGAGTCTCGGGCGGCAGTGGGAATTGCACCCCGGAACCTTCGCCAGGCGCCAGAGCGCAAGTCTGGGGGACGCAGGTCTGGGGCGCGCTGCCCGGCTCTGGGCACGGAAAGTTGGTGAGGAGGAGATCCAGGTCCCAGGGGGTAGCCGCGTCCCTCTCATCATCTTCGTCCTCCCCGGGCGTGTCCTCCAACTCAGGCCTCACGTGAAGGGGCGGCCCTGTGGGGTCGGGGGGGCCTGGGCCCAAGTCCTGCACCTCTTCAGAGCGCCACCACTGTGGGAGGGAGCCGGTAGCACGAAGCTTCAGTGGACACCAGGGTATCCTGCCCGGAGACGGTGGGGGCCGGATGCCCTGATGGGGGCAGACTGGCTAGAGGCTCAAGAAAGCGGTCTTGTTTGCTTGTCTGTCATGTCAGTCTGTCCCTCACATTGTCCTTCCCCCCCTCCCCCCACCACCTCAGCCCCAGAGACAGAGGTCTATCGGTCAGGCTGGAGACAGGAGATAAGGCTTGCATTATCTGGAGCCACACTCAGGCAAGGGGGAAGGGGTGGCAGAGCCGAGAATGGAAGGCTGGGGGAGGCTCAGCCTTGCCTCAGTTTCCCCCAAGAATCTTCCTCTTCCTCCCTGTCCCCCAGCAAGATTAATTCCAAGATTAATTCCTGGATGTCTCCTAGACACATCTGCCATTTCCCTCTGATATCTGGGGGTGTCTCACTGAGCCTAGATCCCTGAGTTGTTCAGTTCCCAGCCTCAGTTTTCTATGACAGAAATAGGCCCTTAGACCAAGTTCAGACCCCTGGCCTGCACTGAGGACACCCGGTGCTGACCAGGTCTCTGAATTCCAAGGCAAGGTTCAGACCTGATCCCCCAGCTCTGTGGCCTGGGCCCGGAACCCCTGGCAGCCCATCTAGACCCCACTGGCCCCACCTTGAGGAAGTCTTCCTGTGTGTCCAAGAAGGGGCCCAGGGTGGTCAGCGTGCTGATGGAGGGCAAGGCGGTCTCCGCTGCAGCCATGGCTGGCTGGTGCCCACCCTGGGGCTCAGGCCTCCTCTCCTTTGGCGGCCTCGTGGGCTCTGAGGCTCTGATGGCCCCTTGAAGGGCTCCTCTCTGCCCTCAGTTGATTGGCTGCAGCCTCTGATAAGGGGCAGGCAAAGGCGGGGGTCACCGTTTCTGGGGGAACAGACTTCGCCTAGGCCTGTTTGGGGCTGAGCCTTAAAGACTGATCCTGTATCCAAAGCCAATCAGATGTTCAGGGGCTGGGGGTTCAGGGGTTGGGCAAAGTGAGGCACTGGGTTCCCAAAGAAGGAGAAACTTGGAGCCTGTTCTCAGTTACCTTCCTGGAGAAGGGGTGACAGGCAGAATGGGGATTCTGGGAAGGAGCTTCAAGACCCCCTTGCCCCTGACCAGGACCTTGCAGCTCTCCCCTTCCCCATAAACAGCAGCAACCGTGCTGATGGCGGGACTTGGCATGAACTCCCTGCCAAGCCAAGCATTATCAGACTCCCCAGATGTTGGAGGCTGCTATCAGGTGGGGGCCCAGAACAGCCAAGGCTCTGTCCCTGGTGAGTGGGAGGGCTGGGGGCTGGGGATTAACTTGGTTTTAAATTTCCTGGGTAATGAGCTCCCAGGTCTGAGCCCAGTGGCAAGAGAGGCCCCTGTCAATCAGCCGTCACTGTCTACCATGGACAGTCCCCCAACCCAGGTGGCATTGCAGGGAGTGTAGCTGCATGGAGGCTGAGGCTGGTGCAACTAGAGCTGCTCCAGCGTGATGGGGGCTGGGAAGGAGGAGGTGACTCCCTCTCCTGTGTGGCATGGGAAGGCTGGATCGGGCCATAGGAAATACCTGACCTGCAGGAGACCTGGCTGCTTCCTGATTTCTACCCCACATGGGGGAGGGAATCTGAGGTTCTGCATCAGAGACTGTGGTGCCAAGGGAGTCCAGGTGGGTGACACAGACACACATCACAGACACATAGTTCATAGGCACACACACACACACACACACACTCACTATGCAATTACATAATGACACAAATCCCCTGGTCCCTAAGTCACACACCCCATATAGTCCCTGCACAAATACTTGTGTGTCTGTGTGTCACATAGACCAAGCACAGACATACAATTCTCAGGCGCAAAAACAACCATCCACTACGTTGGTTACACAATCCCTCAGACATAGAATTCATAATCAGGTGCTGACAATCACACAGTTACCCAAATCACACACAGTCACACGATTTAGTCACAACAAAACAGACACATGGAGAATCCTGGATATATCGTCACAGAACTATAGAAGAGGCAGTCACACAATCCCATCAAACACAGGCAAAGCCTGAGACACAAAAGTGTAAAACACATCCACACAACCATTCATAAACACACTTTTGATATAGTCAGGCACACAGTTATACATCAGGCACAGACATGATCACACACTACAACCTTACATAGTCACAGCCACCTGTCTCTGATACTGTATATAATTATTTAGTCACACAACTGAACTACTAATGCACAACTACAGGGGGCACACCCAAACACGACCACACTAACATGAAATCAGACACCCTGATAGTGAAAGGCATACAACCTCACCCAGATGGAGGCACATCACCAGAGTTGGTGCACCATAAATGCATCACACAAAAAGACAAAAAATTATCACGTGCAACAAGGGTGGGGGGAGCAAAAAAGAAATGTAAAAATCAGCTCGACAGGGCTTCCCTGGTGGCGCAGTGGTTGAGAATCCGCCTGCCGATGCAGGGGACACGGGTTCGTGACCCGGTCCGGGAAGATCCCACATGTGGCGCAGCGGCTGGGCCCAGGAGCCATGGCCGCTGAGCCTGCGCGTCCGGAGCCTGTGCTCCACAACGGGAGAGGCCACAACAGTGAGAGGCCCGCGTACCCCAAAAAAAAAAAAAAAAAAAAAAAATCAGCTCGACAAACTTACTAGGATGGCTATTAACAACAACAAAAAAGGAAAATAACAAGTGTTGGTGAGAATGCAGAGAAATTGGAACCATCGTACACTGCTGGTGGGAATGCAAAGTGGTGCAGCTACTGTGGAAAACAGTTTGATGATTCTTCAATTAGTTAAACATAGAGTTACCATATGACCCAGCAATTTCACTCCTAGGTATATACCTAAGGGAACTGAAAACATGTACTGGATCAAGTATGTGTACACTAATGTTCATGGTCGCATTAGTTTCAGTCGCCAAAAGGTGGAAACAACCCAAATGTCCATTAACGGATGGATAAACAAAATGTGGTCCATCTATACAAAGGAATATTATTCAGCTATAAAAAGTAATGAAGTTCTAATACATGTTACAACATGGGTGAACCTCAAAAACATGCTATGTAAAAGAATCCAGTTACAAAATGTCACATATTATATGATTCCACTTATATGAAATTTCCAGAATAGGCAAATCCACAGAGACAGAAAGATTAGTGGTTGCCAGGGGCTGGCGGGGGAGGCAGAAACGGGGAGTGACTGCTTAATGGGTATAAGGTCTCCTTTCAGGGGTGATGGAAGTGTTCTGGAACTAGATAGAGGTGGTGGTTGCACAACATTGTGAATATACTAAAAGCCACTGAACTGTACACTTTAAATGGTTCATTTTAGGGAATTTCCTGGCAGTCCAGTGGTTAGGACTCAGCACTTTCACTGCTGTGGCTGGGGTTCAGTCCCTGGTCGGGGAACCAAGATTCTGCAAGCCACACGGCACAGCCAAAAAATAAAAGTTCATTTTATGTTATGTGAATTTCACTTCAGTCAAACAAAATGGTTGAAATTAGAGTGGTTTCCTGGAGAAGAAAGCAGAGTGTCTCTTGGGGAGACATCTCCTTGATTTATGATAAAGCACTAACAGGCGTGTTTGGCTCTGAAAGGTGAGGCAAGAGGTTGAGGGTCGGGGGGAGGGGTGGGCATCTGGCTGGGAGATAAGGCCTCTGGGAGCAGGTAGCCAGTACGGATGACAGACTTCCCTGGGTGGCAAGGCCTGAGCCTCAGTTTGGGTTTCCTAATGTGTATGCTGTCATCACCCTCTACACCCTCCTACAGAGAACTCCAGTATCCACAACAACTCCAGGGCAGGGAGCTTTGGTGAAAGGAAGGGATGGAAGGAGGGAGGCCATTGGTTCCTGGAGGAGGGAGGTATCCAGAAGAATAAGAGTTATGCAGAATCCCAGACAATTCAGGGTGGTGATGGACTCCCTACTGAGTGAAGAGAGTTCAAGTCATTTTATTTGGATATTAAAGGCAAGAAGGGCCCAGAAAGTAGAAGAGTCTGGACACACCCAGGCCCCAGGCACTTGGGGATATGCAGGCTAGTGATCACCTTCAGACACAATCTCACAGTTACTCCCATCATACTCAGTCACAGACAATGTGTGAGACAGAGCATTCTACACACACAACTACCCAGACTGTCTATGTGGGAAGAGGTGTTCCTGGGTGAACAGGGAGGGGTCTGTCCTGGGAAGCAGGAGGCCTGGATCCCAGTCCTGGCGCCTGCTCTGCACCTGGTCCATTGTGACCTTGAGCAAGACCAATCTGCTTTCTGAGCCTTACTTTCCCCAACTGGGAAATGGACACGGTCATGGTAGATGAATGACTTTCAGATACAGAGATGGTCAAGCATGATGCATCCAGATTCGAAAGCACACCACACAGTGCTCACAAAAGTGATCTAGGTGAGCACAGCCATTCACTCAGCTATATACTCAAGCTCACAACCACACACAACACATAAACCAAATCACACTGACACATATAGTTATATACAATCGCCCAGACATACACAAAAATATCTAGTCATATTCTCACAAAGATAACAGCCGCATCTACAGAGAAAGCCATCAAAACAGAGTCATGGGGCTTCTCTGGTGGCGCGGTGGTTAAGAATCTGCCTGCCAATGCAGGGGACACGGCTTTGGGCCCTGGTCTGGGAAGATCCCACATACTGCGGGGCAACTAAGCCCGTGCGCCACAACTACTGAGCCTGTGCTCTAGAGCCTGTGAGCCACAACTACTGAGCCTGCGTGTCACAACTACCGAAGCCCACGCGCCTAGAGCCTGCGCTCTGCAACAAGAGAAGCCACCGCAATGAGAACCGCGCACCACAACGAAGAGTAGCCCCCGCTCGCCGCAACCAGAGAAAAGCCCTCACGCAGCAGTGAAGACCCAACACAGCCAAAAATAAATAAATAAATAAATAAAATAAAATAAAACAAAAAATTTTTAAAAAAATCAGTAGCCCTGAAAAAATTATAAAAAAAAGTCATGCACACAGTACCACAAAAACACAGGATCACACAGAATACCATTACACGAGCTTACAATTAGACAAGAAACCACAAAGACATTCAGCCACACAGACAGTCACAGTTACACAGGCACACAACCACCCATAGTCAACAGCCCCACAACGTCACAGAAACAGTCAGCCCCATTCACATATAGATACACAGTCACTCAGGCTCAATCAACCGCACAGAATCACAAAGCATAGGGAATCACACCAAGTCACAGTCACATGTGGCTAGCAAGCTTCCTGGGACAGATTGGCAGACAGCTTGGGCGGAGATCGCCCACCAGAGCCCACCTCCTCCTCCCACACAGAGTACCCCATTAAAGGAGACTTTGAGGTCTGGTCTCCTGGGTACTAGAACTCATTTTTCTCGTGCCTCAGTTGCCTACTTTAACTCCAGGCTCTGCCCTCGCCCCCTACCACCAGGAGTGGGCCGAGCTCCCTCCCAGGGCCAATCAGAGCAGGAATACAGCTGGCCAATCGAGTTGGCGCACTCGCCTTCCGCCCCTTCCCTCTTCCGCCCCTTAAAGGGGTTAAGGTGCCTCGGCTTGGGCGCGCCTACTTACGCCTGCAAGGCTGCCGTGGCCCCTTTAAAAGGCAGAGCCTTGAAAGAGTGGAGTCCTAGGACGAACCAATGACAAGCCCCATTTGGCCTCTTCCCAGCCCGCCCCCTCCGGAGGTCAAAAGCCTTGGTCAGTAGCCCTGTGGCCTGTGCGGTGAGCCCGGGGGCTCCAGGTAAGGACTGGCTATAGGGGCGAAGGGCGCAAAGGACCAGGGGAGCCAGTCCGCTCAGACGCCTCCACTCCTCCAGGTCGGCCTTGGTTGTTCCGCTCGCCAGCTCGCTGCCCACATGGCCCTGAGAGGCGTCTATGGGCGGCTACTGAGCCGCGGACCCAGCCTGCGAGTCCTTCGTTCATGGAGCTCGGCGGCGACGCAGACCGGTCAGTGCCGGACCGGGGGTGGGATGGGGAGGGAGAAACTTGAGGCTCGGGGACTTTCCCGGGGTGATTTTCCCGTCCTCTGTTTGCAGAAAAAGGCGGGAAGACCCAGAGCCGATCAGCCAAGTGTAAGGACCCCTTGTCGCGCCGTGCGTCTGCGGCCCTTGTCCAACTGTCTGTCTGTCCCGGATGGGCTCTGTCCCGGAATCCGAGGGCTGCCCAGGCGGGGAGGCAGGGCCGCTGAGGCAGTGAGTGTCCCCGAGAAAGGCCACTTTGTCAGTCCTGTTTGCAGCCCACATTTGTTGGGAGCGAAATGGGGGTTGAGGAATGGGGCTGATGATTCTGGGGGAGGGGAGGGTGTGGTGATCGGGTGGGCAGGGGTGAGCCCCACCCCCTCCAACTCTGCCCAGCCTCGCGGCCCGAGTTTGACTGGAGGGACCCACTATTGCTGGAGGAGCAGCTGACAGCAGATGAGGTCCTCATCAGGGACACCTTCCGCACCTACTGCCAGGAGCGCCTCATGCCCCGCATCCTGCTGGCCAATCGCAACGAAGGTGCCCAGGCAGGCGGGTGGGCACCCTGGAGCTCCCGCTGCCACCTGAACCACACTCTCCACCATTCACACCAGCTCTGCCTGCTCTAGCTGGGCCCTAGGGCACCTCTGGTCCTGGGTTGGGGCTCCAGTGGGCCAAGGCTGAAGTTGGGCATCTGTCCCTTTGCAGTTTTTCACCGGGAGATCATCTCAGAGATGGGGGAGCTGGGTGTGCTGGGCCCCACCATCAAAGGTAGGGACCAATTTCTCTCCACACTCTGCAGCCCCCACTGTGTCCTGAAAAGCCCCTTCCTTTCCTTGAGCCTAGTTTCCCAGTCTGTAAAGAGAGGCTGTTAATCCCTCTGTCTGAAGTGGCTGTGGGGATGAAACCCTCAAGTAAGGGCCAGCTTGGTACCCTCTCCTTGGGTGCCCCTATGTAGCTCTGTCTCTTGGGCCCCAGGAGTCACTGATCTCATCTGGGCAGGGCTTTGTCCCCCATTGCCCTATTTCTCCCCTCCCCCCCCCCACCCCCCAGCGGCTGGCTGGGTCCTGAGTTCTAC